GCCCCCACTTTGGAGAACTCAAAAGGAGGATGTTTGGAAATTTTATTATAAATCCTCATTCCAATTCCATCTCAGTAGAAGACTCACAAGCAATGGAAAAACTAACCATAAACCTTTCGTTCCCTCCCTCACTATCCGAAGATCTCCTCCCCAACATGGCTCAAGGAAAAACAGACGTTGGCCATATTAGATAGTTCTAAGGATGAGTCCAGAATCTAGGGCTAATGTAGTCAACATTCATGGATTGTTGAGGGACCACAGGTTGGATTTTAAGTTCTCAGGACCTAATATGTCCACCACCAAATTTCTCAAGCTCAGATTTGAGTTTACTGAAAGAAATTGAAAACAGTACCTCTAGAATAGCATCTCGCCACCTCCCACAGTTGCAAAGGCAACAAGCTAGCTCGTAATATACACCAGCTGTTCCAATTACCCCTTTTCTTTCCATATCCCTGATGGCTTTCACAGCTTCTTCAACTTTACCTTCCTTCCAGAAGGTTCTCACCAACACTAAAGAAGTGAGATAAAATATATATGAGGCTATCAGTTACCAAATATCAATAGCAAATAATACGAAAGGAAGTAAAGAACTACCTTTATAAGTAAGGGCTTTTGGAACTTCCCCACTTCTCTTCATCTTTCCAAAAAACTCATGGACAAGGTCATAATTCCCTGACTCCAGCATTACCTTGTAACAAGCACCACCTGTAAGACTTGAATACAAACATGCTTTGAGGGTAATAACATCCGAAGGTAACATTTTCCTCATCAAATAAATTTCCCATTCAGCCATAAAGACCGAAGTAAAATATAACTTAAAGTAACTTATTAATAAAATGGAAATCTCAACCATCATACAGGGATATATAATGCTTCTATACAGGGAAGATAGCAATAATCACTATATAACAAAATAGTTAACTTAATAAATAAGATAAATGGATCTAGTGACTTCACTTTTCCCAATAACAGCTGATCTTTTTATTTCAAATAACTTGAAACAGACTTAACTGTACTAAGCCAAGTTGTTACTTGCAAATGACAAAACAGGCTGAAGATGATTGCACAAGTACAGATTCAGAAAAGCAATTCTCAAATAGATTCAGATCTTAAAGAAAAGTAAAAACTGTTGAGTTAATTGTATCCCCCTGTTTCAATATTGCAGTATACACACTTGATATATTACTTGGTGTCAGATGCTTTCATCCTATAATTACCTCCATTGCAAGTCCATACGTTGCTCCATTAGGTTTTAGACCACTTTTTCTAATTTCCTTAAAAACCCATGACACACCTTTCCACTGCTTTGATGGAACACAAGCATTAAGCACCTAACAGCAATTGAAGAAATCTGACAATTCAATCAGTCTGCAAAATAGCATTCATTAGAAAGCTATATGATAAATTTTAAATATGTAGTTGTTCTCTTACAGCATTGTATATAACCAGATCAGGTTCAAGAATTGGATCCCAGTTCTTGCGATGCATAAATGCTTTGGGTTTCTGCCTCATGCATTCCACAATATTCAGCAACTCTTTCAAAAGACCAGCTTGACCAAGCGTAACAGCAATGCTGTGATATGCAGCAATATCAGGATATATATGGATGTTTTCCTGAATAAGTTGAAAGCAAATCAATTAAAAAACATCCCAAAAACAATTAAAGACAAGCCTTAAGTTAGAAAATAAAGTAAACAATTGGTTCTTACACGCATCAATTTGAAAATTTGAAGGGCCTCCTTTGGCCTTCCCGCCTTCCCAAGAACTGCAAGAAGTTTTGTATACACAAACCTACAAATTCATTATTAACTTCTTCATGAGAGAGGACTGAGAAAGCAAACATATAAATAAAACAACCAAAATATAGACTCGTTAGAATTAATCACGCATAAAATTTTAAAACATGATGCGCCAGGTTCAAGACATCCTCAACCAGTATCCTACTATTCACGTTGTTTGCACAATTACTGATAAAGAAACATTCATCTTCTCAAGTACCATATCAAATTTAGGTTGAAACAACACAGCACAAGAATGTTGCACCAGCTTATTGCTTTTAAGCTGTCCCGTCCCATTCTTATTATTTGTTTCCCATTCCATTTGTTAACACAATACATTAGCAAAGGCCAACCAATGCTGTCAATCCATTTGTTTGATTAGTTGTTTCCTCCAAAATTATAAAACCACACACAACACAGATTTCTTAAGGACCCTTCAAAAACAATGCCAGAAAGCCAAGACAAATATCTAAACCCACCTGCTTTGGAACTTCCTGTGATCTTTATATCTGTACACCCACTGTACTACAGAAAGCGCTTGCTTCCAACAATGTTTAAAACCAAGCAGCTCGACAATCTTCAACAACTGATCTTCGGTAAATGGCAATCCCGACAACTTCATCATCCTCGAAAACTTCCAATCCCTCATAGTAATCTCCCTATCACTCAGCCTACATCGTAAAAAGAAAAATAGTAGATACATTACTTTTGGGTTTCTCACATGTGTCATACATTCCGACACTAAATAAGGACACCTTTTTCGGTGGTGATTCAATTATAACATCGAGGAACAATAGTACATTCAGCTACAGCCAATTCCCGTTGGCCATCAAATATATTTATTAAGCTAACACCATCCACATGAAAACCAAATTAATTAATGACATTGAACAAGAAACGAACCTATCAACGAGAAACTTGATAACCGCACCCTCGCTACGTTTCCGAGTGTCGCCCCTCGTCCCATGCCCTTCGTTGAACCAATCCTCATCGATTTCGAGGTCGGCGTCGAAAACCCACTTGAGTTCATCCATCTTCCGCTCCTCGAACATTTCCTTGAGCTCCGTTAAGCTCTCTCTTCTAAGCTTTCCTCCTCTGTACTCCTTGATCGCCCTCGCCTTCTCCAGAAACTCGACCGTTTGAAGCTCCTCCCAGGGCTTCCCCGCCACGACGCGCGTCTCTTTGAGAGAGGTGGCTTCCATTACTTTTCTGAATTCGCGTTTGATGGCGTGGAAGTGTTGGTCTTCCTCCAAGGCTTGGGTCTCCGCGGGAGTGAGTGGAGGAGGGGGCTGGGACTTCAGTTTTCGGTTGTGCTTTTGGATTTCCCTCTTACGGAGTATGTGGACGATCTTGGGAGTTGGATCGACGCCCTTTTCAATGAGCTTGCGTCGGATTTTGTCGGTGTCTGGGCGGAATTGGGCGACGGGGCACCCCTGGAGATGGAGGTTCAGAGGCTCCATGGGATTGGGAGTTCAGTTTGGAGGCTTCAGTTGCTCACTGTGACAAGATAATACTAGCGGGAAGCGTCAGATATTTCCTTACTCGATAAAATAATTATTAAAAAATTTATATTTTAGAGGATATTACTCTTTTTAGCGTACAAACGTTTTTTTATTTTTAACCAATTTTAGTTAATTAGTAAAATGTACTTTAGAAAAAAGTGTAATTCATTACAGTATGTATTCTTGTTCCTCTCCTATGATGACTATATAGTTACTTTGTTCTTCGTTTTTAGTATTTATGTTTCTGATAAATATAACAAAAAGAAAAAAGACACAAACAATGACACTCATAAATTGGATAGTTGTTGTATTTAAGTAGTGGTAAGAGAGATTACAAAATATTAGTTCTTTAATTTAAATCTTGTATTTATTCATTTCATAATAAGTAGACTATGACATGGATAAAACCTTGAATTTTTCAGTTGTTTTTAAAGAAAACAAGCCGTTTGAAAATAAATAAATAATTTTTTTGGGCTAATGGTTTGAATTTGAAAAAAACAAAGAGTAAGTTGTTTTCTAAAATCTGAAAATCTGTAGTTATTGTTTTCTAACCATTGCTTTCAGTTTATACACTTCTTTTTCTCGTATAAAAGCTATTCTAACAAAATTAATATCTCAAAATCATTTACACAATAAAATTGCCCAAATAAAAAGATTATTTTAATTATATTCTAAAAAACTATCACAAAATTATTTTACAGAATAAACTCACCCTAATACAAATTTGATTTTAATTATAACCTAAAAGAAAAGTACATCTACGCATATGTATTTACATTTTATTATATTAAGATAATATCACATTAATATTTATATTACTTTTAGAAGCAATTAATTAAAAACGTAAAAAAAAATATATTATTATTTTTTATTTGATAACTTCATTTAATATTATCTTTTAATTTAAATAATGTTATCTTTCAATAAAGAAAAAAATATTATTCATTTATCTAATAAAATAAATAATTATTATATATATTAATAAAATAAATATATTTTATTTTTATTTTTAAATAACTAAATAACCTTTTTTTTCTAAATAACAGCTATATATATATTGTATTATTTCTTTAATTAGTTATTCATAAAAAACAATAACGTATATATTTTTAATGTAATAAAAGTTACAATTTAAAAAATACATAATTTCTTAACAATAATAATATTAAAAAAATTATGTAACAGTTATTTTTAGAAAGAAAAGTTATTGGAAAAGTGTGTTGGTGAAGATGGTGAATAAAATTGGAAAAGTGAGAAAAAAAGACAAATAAAAGTGAAACGAAAAATAGAAAATATGAACCATCAACTTAAAAATAAAATGATCTAATGGTTCCTCAAGAGGTTTTCCACGGTGGGAGCCATGTATTGCTCTCCCACCCCTAAAGCGTGGATCTTCAACAATGAAATTCCGAGAAACACGAACTTCATCACAAGGTATTCAAAATTCTATCATACACATAGTCATGACTAAAGAAATAATGATAATAATACTTCAGTTAGAATACATGTTGGCGTTGGATCCTCACCGGCTCAATGTAGGACCCATATCTCTTTGGAGTTGTTCAATACTGGAGAGGAGTTGTGCTTGTTGTAATTTGTCTCGACCGATAAACTCTGAATATAAAATTATTATTTTGTATAAAAATTATAGAGCTATCTTTTTCGGTTTTGCTGGAATTGTTGTAGAAAGCAAGAATAAAAAACTTCAAACACGATAAAATGACAAAAAGAATCCACTCAAATTTATTTGTATCTGACACAACCCAGGAAATAACAAGACCCACACAATGCTGAACATTAGAAAAATCTAATCTAATTTACAGAGATAGACAACCAATTCCTCTCACAACTGCAGTTCTGCAAAGTATTATAAAAATGCAACTAAGCTGACAATGACAATATGATTCACTCATAAAACAAACCTTGACATTTCATCTTGTGGTTTGATACCCCATTGGACTTGATATTACATTAAGAAGCAAATGAGAAGAGAGCAGGAATAAAACATCTGCAACAAAGTTAGGCATGCAGACGCCTTCAGCAACTTACAGATATATTTCATTGAAATTACAGTAGAGTACAAAACATTAAGAAACCTCTTAGCTCTTTGATTTGGAGTGCTTTACAAGCCAATCGATAACAGAGTCAATGTTAGTCGAGTTTTTGCACGAAATCATGAAGCAGCAAACTTCTCTATCAGTAATTGACTTCAGATCCCTGCATACCAGATAGCTCTTTTAGCACCAAACAAATATAAAAGTAAGAAAAAAAATAAGAAACAGGAAAACACGTATAACTCAAATCAATTCAGTAAAGTAACTTCTAGTACTAGTTTACTTTCGTTATTGCTACAAATTAGAATAAAAGTGATATAACGTACATTTGGTCAGTCAAAGCTTCTTTAGACAGAGCCCCTGGTTTGTCGATCTTGTTCCCCAATACCAACAAAGGAATGCCACTCAATGATGGTTTGCTCAGCAAATCATGAAGCTCACTTCTTGATATGCTAAGATTATCTGCATCGGCAGCATCAACAACATAACTGCAGGAAACATCATATTAGGGGAACTGTAACCAAAATCCGTTAATTAATAGATCAAGATAACATTGGACTCCTACACTAATGTTAATGCAGGAGAAGAAAATGCATCAACTTAGAGAAAGATTAGCAACAACAGCATGATCCAATCACACATCTATGGAAGATCGAAGAGGAAGACATTATTCAGCAGCATCATAACTTCGGAATAACTAGGAAACCAGGTCTTTTAGAACTGGAAGCAATAAAACACAGAAGGTGAAAGATTTAATTAGTGAAATCATATAACTCATTCAGTGAAGAACAATCCGGTCATACAGGACAAAGTTTCAAAGAGACATGCTCAGTTCCTCGCCTTACATACTGCACTAACCATAATAAGTCATATTAACTAGTAAATAATCTTCATCGTGACACGACTTCAAGAGTCATTAGTAAAACCAATTAATACAGATAAACAGATCCCTTTGCACTTCTTCTGTTAGGATATAATGTGTGCAGAATAAAAGGAAATAGATTAGGAATTAGTTGTTAGTTGGTTAGTTGGTTAGGGAGGCCTTTATAAGAAGGCTGGGAGGTCTTGTGTGAGGGTACTTTTTGAATAATCTTGTAGATTGAGCTTTGGCTCTTTGTGAAGGGGAAACCCTTGGAGGAGAGAGTGCTCTCCTATTCTTGTATTCTTTGGTTACAATAATAATCCAGTTCTGTTTCCAGCAATCTGGTGAGTGAGTGTGTGTTGTTTTGAGTGATAGTTAGACTTCTTGACTAAAGAAGCCTAACAAATTGGTCCGACCTGCCGGATCAAGAAGCTACCGGATCAAGAAGCTGCCGGATCCACTTGGAAGGGGACTGCCAGATCAAGAAGGGATCAAGAAGTGATCAAGAAGTGATCAAGAAAGGGTGGAGGCATGGAAGGAAGAGACAATACCTTGGAGAGGAGGACCAGCGAACTGAAAATGGACATGCTAGAATGCAGAAGAAATATGCAAGAAATGAGAGAAATGCTGCAAGAAATCAAGATTCACATAGAGGGCTTAGAAAGAAGTGAGAAATCTATAGAAAGAGGGTTCAGAAGAAGAGATGGAGGAAGACAGGGGTGAACAGAATTGGAGAAAACGGGTAGAATTGCCCAGGTTTGAAGGGCTGGACCCGTTGGGGTGGATCTCTAAGGCAGAGAAGTTCTTTGACATTCAGAATGTCACAAAAAAGGAGAGGCTCAGGTTGGCTTACAACTGCATGGAGGGAGGCACAATATACTGATTCAGGGCCTGGGAAAATAAAACCAAGAACCATTCTTGGAAAGGGCTGAAAGAGGCATTGATAAGGGGGTTCGGAAGAAGAGATAGAGGTTCTGTTTTTGAGAAGAAAAGAGAAACGGAAGCTGCAGTTTTGAATGTTGATGGTTTTGCAAGAATTAGAGGGCAGGATAGGAGAGAAGAAAATATATGTAAAGAGGAAGGCGATGACAAAAACTTTGATGGAGACATTGGTGTGGCTGCTGCTGAGAATGTTGCAAAAGCTGCTATTTTTAGTGGAGATGGTGTGGTAGGTTGTGGTGTGTTTGTCAAAACAGTGAAGAAGGGGGAAGAATTGTTGAGGTCTGGGGTTAAAACAATGGTGTCAGGGAGCAACCCAGTTGAGGCTGTTTACAAATCAAGAGAGGAACTTCTGCAAGACATCAAGAAAGGCAGGAAATTCTCTGAAGAAGGAGAGTACTTGGCTAATGATGAAGAGAAGAAGGAAGAAAGAGGTCCACAGGGCAGTAAACCAGATGAAGAACCACTTGTATTGTGGGTTGAAGGAGTGGAGTTGTCCACAATTGAAGGGAATGGCACCCAGGGTCAAACAACAAGGGTAGCATTTGTTTTTGAAGTTCAGAACATCAAAGGATCAACAAAGGTTCACCCAATAGTCAATAATATGGAAGAAAATGCAGTCCAAGGGTTCAAGACTTGGCAACAAAAATCCAAGAACCTTTCTTGGAAAAATCTGGTAACAACTCTACTAAGGATAGTTGAAGGGAACAGGAGAAGCATGCTATGTGAGAGTTGGGCAGCAGTAACACAAATTGGGAGTGTGGCAATTTTAAGGGAGAATTTGAAAGTAGATGGAGGTAACCCTGTGAATCATTCAAATCTGGTTGGATCTTCATTTAATTTTCCTGGAACTGGATTTAGTAATGATATTTGGTTGAAGAAAGTTTTTCGCTTTCAGCCATTCTCTAGTTATATTGTTAAATCTAGTTTTGTTGGAAATAAGGGAGCAGCAACTGTCGAAAGTGTTGTTGCTACAAGGACTGATGATGTCAGAGATGTGAATTTGAGGATTTCACAAAATTGGGCTAAAAGAATCCAGGAAGAGTGGAAGTCATTGGAGGAGGATCTCTCATATCGACCACCACCCAAGCCCCCAGATTTAAAATTGCAAACAGTCACAGTGGTATTGGATGGTTTGACAGCAATAAGAGGGTCTGGGAGTGGGAAAAATTTCATCCAAAAATTCAAGATATGGTTGTCACAAACATATAAAACACCAGAAGACCAATGGCAGGAATATTTCTTTGCAGGGTTGCAATATAACGTTCAGAGGAAACAGTTTAGGGTTCCAACCTTGAAGACAAGGTTGTTTTGCAGCGGGATGTGATGTTAGGATATAATGTGTGCAGAATAAAAGGAAATAGATTAGGAATTAGTTGTTAGTTGGTTAGTTGGTTAGTTGGTTAGGGGGGCCTTTATAAGAAAGCAGGGAGGTCTTGTGTGAGGGTACTTTTTGGATAATCTTGTAGATTGAGATTTGGCTCTTTGTGAAGGGGAAACCCTTGGAGGAGAGAGTGCTCTCCTATTCTTGTATTCTTTGGTTACAATAATAATCCAGTTCTATTTCCTGTAATCTGGTGAGTGAGTGTGTGCTGTTTTGAGTGATAGTTAGACTTCTTGACTAAAGAAGCCTAACATCTTCCCTTTTGTTTTCGGGTACAGTACAGATAAAATATAATATTAAACCAAGGCAAGAGCTGTTGACATGGGCACCCAACTGATACGTGAGTTTACATCAAGTTCACTAATTAAAAATGAGTTTGGGCTCATGGAGATAAAATGGTAACTTGATCCTCAGTCCTAAGAAGGATAAAATTTACCATAATGAAACAACTAGGAAAATAAAAAACAATTGCGTATGTTGATGAACAACTCTATTATGGAATTACCATGCATATGTTGACAGATTACCAATGCAAAAGTACAAACAAACACTAGAAGATTTGTGCCTTTATCAATGATGTCTGTCTCATTGAATGTACCAGTGCTAAGAGGGAGATAGAGAGAGTTTTATAATCAAAAGGAAATGAGAATTTTGCTCCATACACAATAGCAGAAACTGCACGACAGTAGCGTTCCCACATGCTGCGAAACCTAGGTTGCCCTCCAAGATCCCATAACTTTATTGTAACATTGCCTTTAGTTACTTTCCTCATATTGAATCCCACCTGGAATCCGATGACAAAATAGACTGATAAGAATATCATTCTGCTTGATAAGCAGAAATCTTCATATAGTAACTCAAGGAGAAAGCTATAACCGAAAGCATTTGGCAAATAACACTTACAGTAGGAATCATGTCCTCGCTATACCCACCCGTCTAGGAAGAAGATCAGAAAAATATCTTTCAGTGAATCAGTTCAATTAATGACAAATTACTAAGATAAATCCAAAAAAATTATCATACTTACAGCAATAACATTTACAAGTGAAGTCTTCCCAGCATTCTGAAGTCCAATCAAAGATAATTCCATTTCCTGCTTGAAAAAGAGGCTGCAATCAAATTTACAATGAGGTAAGCTAGTTTGAATCAAGTAATCCTCTAAGCCCAGATCAAGCATCCGTATAAAAAGTACATACCGAAAGCCAACTTAGGTGCAACCTAACACTCCAAAAAAAGTTGGGTCACAAAAACAGAATCAGATATAGTACAACCAATAGTTGTTCCTAAATTTCAGCAAACACTTGTTCAAAAGTTTACAGATTACCTAAGCCGAGCAGCAGCTACTGTCGTTTGGGAACACTTTAACTTCGCAATTGACTAGAATTCATTTAGATTGAAATGATTTATCCAAAACAAGTTATATACAAGAATCCATTTATGCTTCCACTCAAAAAATCTTGAAACACCACCAAGAAAGAAAAGAAAGAGCAAAATTGGATTTGCTCATACATATCTAATTACACAAAAATCGCATGACTATAATTATCACCAATTCAGTAATACAGAGAACATATTTTGCGGGCAGTGAACATCTTAGAAAGTCCTATACATGATTACACTAAAACATTAAACGAATTCACAATAATTTATCACAACAATCAATTAATTCTGAGTTTAAACCGATATATAAATAAATAAATAACAACTGCATTGTGATAATTTGTTGGAGTAGAAAAAGCTAACTAACCTGCGAAGCCAATTGAGAAAAGATTCCCACAACCCCATCGCTTCTCTTCACTGGTAAAGAAAGCAACACAAACAAACACACGGATCTCGATTCCGTTGTTCCAACTCGAACCCCCACACAGATCCTTCAACACTGTTTATCGCATTCGCATAATGGAAACTCCTTTTTATTTTTCTAAACAGAGCTAATTGCTTTGGGGGTTTGAATCGCGCGGGTCCCACACAGAAGAGACAAATGAAGCGCTTCTCGATCAATAATGGTGGCGATGCAGGGGATCATATCTCGCGATTAAAGTTTATTTACACAATCTGAACCTGTCGTGACATTACTTAACCCACCCTCATTGTGATGCGCGTGACCTACAAACCACTCGAAAGTTTTAACACGAGATTCTACTGGGAAGTTACGTGTTGACACTCGCGCGTGGGCATAGGGTAAACAGCTATGATATCATGATTATATTTGAACGTCAACAAATGGGAATATGCCACATAAATGTTGAATAGTGCTTAACATCTCTGGCTCACGCCATCCTGTGGCCAAGCAGGTGCTCACAACTGTCAACAATTGATGACGTAAGACTTGAGTCAAGGATATGGTTTTAAAAATTTTAGAAAAATAAGAAGATTAAAACGAAATAAAGAAATTGACTAGTTATATTTGTAAAACATGATTTTAAGAGGTAAAATGTGTTGGAAACATAAGTCTAAATTTTGAAATTTTCATTAAAATTTCGCTTTAATTCACAATTTTAAATTTTCTTTATGTGTAGGCTACATAAGTCTCCTTTTAAACTTGTTATGTCTTAAAAAAATCATATTTGTATAAATATAATTTTTTTTTAAAAATAATAATGGACAAAAATAAAGAAAGAGAGTTAATTAGCTCATAATAAAAATTTATATTTATTTTTTTTAAATCATAGTTCCAATAAAATCATTTCGTTTATAATAACAACAGTTAAATAAAGAAATATTAATAATTGTGCAAGTTATTTTATATTAAAAAATATTAAGTTTAATTGTCAATTACTTTTAAGTGAGGATTAACTAAAGACAAATGAAATTACAAACACTAATGGAGTAAACACTTTATGAAAGAACACACTTCTCTTGAAGAACCACAAGATATTAAGAACACGTTACTTCAACCACAAGGAAGGAAACATCTCGTTTGAATCCCACAAGAAATGAAACATCTCATTTGAATCTCAAAAAGGATGAAACACCTCTCTTAAGTCATACAAGAGATAAAAGACACATTCCTTGAGATCAATGGATGAACACTCCCTTTGAGTCACACAAAGAATAAACAACTTCGTGTAACAACAACAATAACACTTAATCACTCAATATCACACTTGATGAAAGTTATCATTCTACCTACACTAGATTTTTAAAGTTTTTCCACATAGAGTTATAACTGAACCCTTGTTTATTCAAATGAAAGTCTACCACTTTATTTATAGAGTTTATTTTCAAAATTAGGTTAAGAATGTGAAAAGTTAAGTTGCGATTGTTGTTAATAATCTATTAATTTTTATAAACTGTTTTTACAATTAAAATAAATTCATTTTAAATAATAAAAAGAAAAATAATAAGCATAGGAAAATAGAGATCTGCACAAATAATTTTATATTGGTTTAGATAAAAAGATCTTATGTCCAGATGTTAATCTCTCTATAGAGGGATTGACCAATCACTAAAATAAACCAAAATTTAGAATCACAGAGAAGATAGTTTATGTTTAGAAAATGTATCTCTTGAAACCACAGGAGATGAAAGACACTTCCCTTGAAATTCACAAGGGATAAACACCTTATTTGAGTCCTACAAAGGATGAAGACACATCTCTTGAATTATTCAAAAAGAGATGAAAAAATACATTCCTTGAATCCATAAAAAATGAACACCTCCTTTGAATCATAAAAAGGATGAGCAACTTCTCTCAGCAACAACGACAACACTCAATCACACAAAAACCCACTTGGTGAAAGTTATTGTTTTACCCACACTAGGTTTTTCAAAGTCTCTTTTTACAAACACATAGGGTTTCTCTAGTAGTCACAACTTTAAACTTACCGAAAAAGTTTTTTTAGAAACTAGGTTTAGCCAAAACACATAGACTTTTACTTTTGAAAATTTGGTCAAAAAACTGAAGAGTTAGGTTGCAATTGTTGTTGATAATCAATCATATCAAATGATAATCGATTATCACAAAAACTTTTCAAAAAACTTTTTCTCGATGTAATAATCGATTACCAGAAAGTGATAATCGATTATCACATAGTATTTTGTGAAAAGTTGAATTTCATTTGGATAATCGATTATCAATAGTAATAATCGATTATCATTGAGCTTTTTATGAAAAATAATTTTTTTCCTGAATGCTCTATTGTTTAAGTTGTCTCTTAACTCTTGACCTGTTAATTTAAATAAGATACACAGATTACAAGACTTCATCAACTAAATTCTTAAGTCTTCAATGTATCTCTTAAATCCAAACATTCTTTAAGTTTTCACCATTTTTCCATGAGTCATCATCAAAACTCTTTAAGATGTTCATCTTCTTCTTTTTGTCAACAATATATGGTCGTCTTTAACTTTCTTGATTGATTCTCAACAAAACAAATGAATACTCTAACAAAGAAAAGATATCAGACTCATTTATATAAAGAAATACACATAGAGTTAACCTTTTTTAACATTACAATCAGTTAGGAATCTAATTTCTACCGTATACGCATTTTTAGAGGTTTATCCATTAGTTAATTTCATAAAAAACAACATTTAAACATCACAAAAAAATAATTTAACCATGTTTGGAGCATCATCATCAATAATATTTTTCTACTCATGTTAGCTCTCCCGGTCTACAAGTTGATCATGTTGTTGCTCCATAAAGGANAAACCTAGGTTGCCCTCCAAGATCCCATAACTTTATTGTAACATTGCCTTTAGTTACTTTCCTCATATTGAATCCCACCTGGAATCCGATGACAAAATAGACTGATAAGAATATCATACTGCTTGATAAGCAGAAATCTTCATATAGTAACTCAAGGAGAAAGCTATAACCGAAAGCATTTGGCAAATAACACTTACAGTAGGAATCATGTCCTCGCTATACCCACCCGTCTAGGAAGAAGATCAGAAAAATATCTTTCAGTGAATCAGTTCAATTAATGACAAATTACTAAGATAAATCCAAAAAAATTATCATACTTACAGCAATAACATTTACAAGTGAAGTCTTCCCAGCATTCTGAAGTCCAATCAAAGATAATTCCATTTCCTGCTTGAAAAAGAGGCTGCAATCAAATTTACAATGAGGTAAGCTAGTTTGAATCAAGTAATCCTCTAAGCCCAGATCAAGCATCCGTATAAAAAGTACATACCGAAAGCCAACTTAGGTGCAACCTAACACTCCAAAAAAAGTTGGGTCACAAAAACAGAATCAGATATAGTACAACCAATAGTTGTTCCTAAATTTCAGCAAACACTTGTTCAAAAGTTTACAGATTACCTAAGCCGAGCAGCAGCTACTGTCGTTTGGGAACACTTTAACTTCGCAATTGACTAGAATTCATTTAGATTGAAATGATTTATCCAAAACAAGTTATATACAAGAATCCATTTATGCTTCCACTCAAAAAATCTTGAAACACCACCAAGAAAGAAAAGAAAGAGCAAAATTGGATTTGCTCAAACATATCTAATTACACAAAAATCGCATGACTATAATTATCACCAATTCAGTAATACAGAGAACATATTTTGCGGGCAGTGAACATCTTAGAAAGTCCTATACATGATTACACTAAAACATTAAACGAATTCACAATAATTTATCACAACAATCAATTAATTCTGAGTTTAAACCGATATATAAATAAATAAATAACAACTGCATTGTGATAATTTGTTGGAGTAGAAAAAGCTAACTAACCTGCGAAGCCAATTGAGAAAAGATTCCCACAACCCCATCGCTTCTCTTCACTGGTAAAGAAAGCAACACAAACAAACACACGGATCTCGATTCCGATGTTCCAACTCGAACCCCCACACAGATCCTTCAACACTGTTTATCGCATTCGCATAATGGAAACTCCTTTTTATTTTTCTAAACAGAGCTAATTGCTTTGGGGATTTGAATCGCGCGGGTCCCACACAGAAGAGACAAATGAAGCGCTTCTCGATCAATAATGGTGGCGATGCAGGGGATCATATCTCGCGATTAAAGTTTATTTACACAATCTGAACCTGTCGTGACATTACTTAACCCACCCTCATTGTGATGCGCGTGACCTACAAACCACTCGAAAGTTTTAACACGAGATTCTACTGGGAAGTTACGTGTTGACACTCGCGCGTGGGCATAGGGTAAACAGCTATGATATCATGATTATATTTGAACGTCAACAAATGGGAATATGCCACATAAATGTTGAATAGTGCTTAACATCTCTGGCTCACGCCATCCTGTGGCCAAGCAGGTGCTCACAACTGTCAACAATTGATGACGTAAGACTTGAGTCAAGGATATGGTTTTAAAAATTTTAGAAAAATAAGAAGATTAAAACAATAAAGAAATTGACAAGTTATATTTGTAAAACATGATTTTAAGAGGTAAAATGTGTTGGAAACATAAGTCTAAATTTTGAAATTTTCATTAAAATTTCGCTTTAATTCACAATTTTAAATTTTCTTTATGTGTAGGCTACATAAGTCTCCTTTTAAACTTGTTATGTCTTAAAAAAATCATATTTGTATAAATATAATTTTTTTTTAAAAATAATAATGGACAAAAATAAAGAAAGAGAGTTAATTAGCTCATAATAAAAATTTATATTTATTTTTTTTAAATCATAGTTCCAATAAAATCATTTCGTTTATAATAACAACAGTTAAATAAAGAAATATTAATAATTGTGCAAGTTATTTTATATTAAAAAATATTAAGTTTAATTGTCAATTACTTTTAAGTGAGGATTAACTAAAGACAAATGAAATTACAAACACTAATGGAGTAAACACTTTATGAAAGAACACACTTCTCTTGAAGAACCACAAGATATTAAGAACACGTTACTTCAACCACAAGGAAGGAAACATCTCGTTTGAATCCCACAAGAAATGAAACATCTCATTTGAATCTCAAAAAGGATGAAACACCTCTCTTAAGTCATACAAGAGATAAAAGACACATTCCTTGAGATCAATGGATGAACACTCCCTTTGAGTCACACA